CGCCTACCTGGCAAGTCCAAGTCGTGAGTTCGGTTCCTGGAACCGGGGAAAAAAAAAAAAAAAGGTCTCACATAATAACTTCTGCTCCCATTTCAAACTAAGGGCAAGAGCAAACTAAATACCAAATAAGCAGAAGATATAATAAAGAGCAAAAATCTGGTAAAAAAAATTAATGAAAGCAAATTCTGATTATATAGAAAATCAAATTGATGATCCTCTTATACTGATACAGATAAAAGATACAAGTGAATAATACTCAGAGGAAATCACTATAGATCTTACATGCTGAGAAATAAGACAATATTATGAACAACTTCACACCAATTTCAATCAGTAACAGATTAAATGGACAAATTCCTTCAGAAACACAACAAACTCACGTCAGAATAAATATAGCTCTACACTGCAGTAGCACAAGCCTATATTCCCAGTTATTCAGGAGGCTGAGGCAGGAAAATCACAAGTTTGAGGCCAGCTTGGGCAACTGAGACTAAGCAAAATTTTAATAAGGGAGAGAAGGTTGGGACGTGGCTCAGTGCCAGGCCACTTGCCTAGCATGCACAAAGCCTGGGTTTATCTCCCGTATAAGAAACAAATCCTAAATCTGCTCTTAATATTGAATTTGCCAACACAGAAAGCATATTCCAAGCTAAGACTGACTTTATTGGAGAAGTCTGCCTAATATGTGACACAAATTCCTAGAGATAACTAAAGACAAGGGAATTCTTTCCAACTCATGCTATTGGGTTAGTATGACCCTTCTATCAAAATGAGGAAAACCAGAGACAGATCTGAAGTCTAAGTAGCAACATTTGAAATGAATATGAAAAGGGGCAGGCTATAGGACAGACTACAAGAAAAAGGACTTAACTCATAGCTGTGTTTCTGACAGACTGATTCTATTCCATGTAACTACAATCATGACTGAACAACAGTGCCTTTAAGGCACCGGAAATGTAGAATTGGGAGGATTTAGCAAAGGTGCTAAAGGTGAGGTTGCGTCAGATCAACATGTACAATGAGGCAGAGAAAGGTGTAGTGCAGTGAGAACAATGAGTAACAGGGGCATGTATTCAGAACTGTAAACTGAGTGCTTTGTCTGGAACAGGGTGAGTTTATGGTGCTGGTCAGATAGATATCCAGCACTGTACAGGCCAGTGTTTAGTAAGTTGTGTCTGATAACTGGAAATGCAAGATGAGCTCAAGAGGGAGAAATGTACAAGTAAAGGTCATGCCTATTTGCACTGACCAACTCTGTTATTACACTGTAGCTATCCTACATTAGGAGAGTAGCAGAATATTTGAAAGACTTAAGTCCTTTCAGTGAACTTCAGAATGTTTATCCCAAGGTAAGAAAATGTTAATTACAAAAATGAAATATACTATAGTTATAGTTCTTGTTTATGACTGAGTAATTCTTAAAAGATAATGCAACTTAAGGTTTTATTTTTGGTACCAGGGATCAAACTCAGGACCTTGCGCTTGCCAAGCAGGTACCGTGCCACTGAGCTATATCCCCGGCTCACAACTTAAGATTCTGGGTGGACATCTACTATCAAAAGCTGCTGCTACAATTTGAGATCCTTCCAAAGTCTTCTGGAAAAGGTCACAGGCAAAAAAGTCTGAACCTATTAGTGTCAAAGGGTACGCTGTAAAGGCCTCTTCTCTTCTGCTCCAGCATGTAAGATTTAACACATTTTGGAAACCCAATTGGCCCACAGCCTTTACCCAACAAGACACTGAGAAGCTGGCCTACACACAAAAATCAATATGCACAGCTCATCCTCTCTAGCCAAGTAAGCCACAAGGTCACTCAAGACTAAACTGACACATCTGCAAGGTGGGTTTTAAGGACGCTGCCTAAAAGGCTGTCTTACTTAAATGACCACCCTAAACACACAGTTCATTCACCATGGGAGAAGCCATTCCACTTGCTGTTAAAAGACACGGGGACGGGCTGGGGATTTAGCTCAGCGGCAAAGCGCCTGCCTGGTAAGCGCAAGGTCGTGAGTTCGGTTCCTGGTACCGGAGAAAAAAAAAAAAAAAAAAAAAAAAAAAAGACACGGGGACAATTTTCATTGTGTATCCTAGCAAAAAGCTGTTTCTATAAACAAAAAAGGGAAGTTCAGAAAACAGTGATTATTTACTAGAATATACAAAATGTTTAATATGAAAGCCTTGACTAGAGTTAGTTATACAACATGAAGATTGCCCAATATATAAAAATCTCAATTTTGAAAATTAATTTTGAACACTGAAAGAACTTACTATCATCTTTCTGTTATAAAAACAAGCTGTAAGCTGTGGCACACACCTAAAGCAAGAGGAACGTGAATCCCAGTCCAGCCTGGGATATACAGTAAGGCCCTCTCAAAAAGAACAAAAAGCAAAAACACCCGCATCTATGAATATGCAAATACCACAGAAACAAGTGAAATCACTACTCAACAGTGTTAAGACTTATTATTTTCATTTTATTAAAATATAGCAACATAATAGCATTACTTGATAAATTTTTACTGGCACCACTTAAAAGTTCTACTCACATAAATATACAATACCTATGCAGCATATTTAGGTTTACATTTTGAACTTGTCCCTTGATAATCTACAACACTGCTCTTACTAATCAAGTTTAGAAGATAATTACTGAACTATTAAATTGATTTATACAGCTATACATTATTTTCAAATTTAATGTTCAATGAAAATCAGGGGTTCTCTAGGTTATTACCCACAATGTGTTACCAACAAGTACCCTTAAACTGGTAAAAGTTAATCTCTTCTGATTCAGTATAATTTTTATGAATTTCAAAGCCAGGCATGGTGGCACAAACTGCACACCTGTAATCCCAGCACCCAGAGGCAAAGGCAGGAGGATCGCCTTGAGTTCGAGGTCAGCCTAGGCTGCATAATGAATAGACCAGTCTGAGTTACATAGCCAGACCCTGTCTGAAAAGAAAAAAAAAAGAAATGAAAAGACAAGAGGTTAACTACTACTTCATTCCAATCTTAGAAAAATAAAATTTACAGAGATAAATATGACAAACATAATTTTCCAAATAAAAACATTAGCTACACACTTATAAATGAGGTAAGAGATTAAAACCACCTTTAAAAAAAATTTAATAAGGAATGTTGCAGTAGAGGTTGGGGAGAGCTCAATGACAGAACACTTGGCTAGTGTGCATGAGGTCCTGGGTTTGATCTCTGGCACCACCACCTCGAAAAAGGGAACAGTTAGACATAAACTCATACTCGTAATAAATAAATTGTGAGAAATAATAAAGATACCTTAGACTGAGAAAGAGATCTACTGGTTACTAAATCTAATCTACCTATAGACTGAAAGACCAAAAGTGCATTATTTTTCGTTTTAAAATAATGATCATTCTTCAAGCAAAATCATCTTTACAAATAAAAGTATCCTCAGAAAGACTCACTCATAAGTGCAAGATTCAATAGGGAAGCCAGTTTTATTTTAAAAGATTACTTTATGACATTTATACTTCACTTCTTCCAGAAATAGACTTTAGCCTTTCTAAAAAGAGCACTAACTTCTGAAATCTGAAAATAATTTAAGTGATTGCTACGTTAGTAAATAAACCTGAGAAAACACTAAAGATAAAAGTAGAGGACATAAAAGATATTTAAACACCTGCAGAACACATGGTTATTGTACTTTAACTTTTTAAGAATGGCTTAACTCCAGCCCATTATAATCAAACACTATTTTTTAAAATGAAAATAGTAAAAAAATTTAAAAATAAAATGAAAACAGTAAATGACTCAAGGAAATGTTACTTAATGCATCTGTCTAAACGGATTCATTTAATTGCTAATTCAACAACTAAAGATGATTAAATGTGCTATACTTTTATAAGGGTTAGACTGAAAAAACTTAAAAGCCTACAATATTTTATGATCCTTAAATCTGAATAATATCTTCATTTCGGGGCACATGTGAATCAGATTATTTTATTTTAAAACAAGGGTAGCAATATATACACAGGAAGACTGAGGGTCCTGAAAATGATTAATATCACACAAAAATATTTCTTGACCAAAAAGAAAAACACTTTTGGTTATAAACACTAGTTTTTGTTTTTAATTGGGCATGCCAATTTTTAACCCTCTGATACTTATGAAGGTCACAGTCTGACTAGTGTTTTTTACTAATCTAATTAGATTAGATGAAAATAATAAGAGATAATTACAGAAATTAAGAATTTACATTTTCACAGATGGAACTCACTGACTAGCCTATGAAGGACCATCTTATGATACCAGGTCAGTGTACACTGCTGAACAGCAGTAAGAATACCAACAAAGTTTGTCTAAAATGATGAACAGTAATTGCAGTTTAAGGAACAGAACATAATCTCTGTAAAAGCAAGCTAAAAAGACAATCGAAATGTATCAAGTGTGTGAGGGCCATCTCCTTCGCCTTACCTGTTTTCCTGACATCATCTACCTGGGATGAAAAAAGAAGAGTCTTGATCAAAAAAACAAAATACCTTAAAAGAAAATAATAAACAAATGGAAACATAGTAACTCTAAGTGAACAAACAGAAAACTGTGTTCCTTCTCCCACTTCCTCCTTTCTCTCTGTCTCTCTGAAGAACCCCTTTATGGACCTGAGGAAGCCCTGCTTCCCTGTAGGAAAGTGTGAAATCCCACACAGTAGTCTAATTTCACTTTCTCCAGATCCCTTGTATTTTTACTCATTCTCAAGGCTTTATAAATTACCTTTTCAAGATTAATGTGACTATTTTATAACTTAAAAAGTATTATCAGGAAAAAAGTAATTAGCAGCAGGAATCAAATTAAATAATTTCTAACCTTAAAAAATTTCAGTGTCCACACTATAAGAAAACAAACTTTAAATGACTATTTTATAGACACCACACAATCACAAGCTCCCCAAGCCAAAACAATATGCCAACTAAAACAAGCAGAGTGAAAACTAAGGTGTTTTTTTGAAATGCATAAACAAATACTTTCCTCTAAAATACTTAGCTTTATTAGAGAAATGGTACTAAAAATAACAAAGATTCAAACATTTGCTCTATTCTACTTACATATCATAAATAAGACAGCTGTTGATGCAAGACACACACTTCACAATCTTTCTGTGCGCACCCAAGCATTACTGTATCAGAATAAGCTGTTCACCAGCCAACCATACGAGGTTGAATGATTAAAATGACCATCTATACTTTACATAGTAAAGCATTTTAGAAACTTTTAATGTACACAGTGACAAAAAGGGAAAAAACCAAACACACAGGAATTCTGAACACATGAAGATGATTAAGCAGCTTCATTATCAAACCAGGCTTCATTACTTGCAAAAGGGGCAACTTTTCCCATTCTCCACCAAATACTTAAGTTTCAACTATATTAACATTAAGAGAAAACTCAAGTTGAAACCAAGTAACTAATGTGCTACTCAGTTTTTATAATCTACAAAAGTAGCTCTTCCCATGAGGTAAGGCAATTTGATTGTATTAGATTGCATTAAAACAATTATACTTGATTTTTAATAATATGCTAATTAAAAGCATTACTTTTTGATAGTAATAATGAAAAAGCACAGAAATTACAAATAATTTTGGGGAAAACATTAGCAATGTTGTCGTTTTACTCCTTGCATACTTTCAGCAAAACATAAGCTTGATGACAGATGACCTGTATCTGAAACTCAAGTAAACGTATCCTTGAAACATAAATAACCTCCCGTATGCTCTTAATCCTCCCTTAAAGTATGATTTCTATACAATGCTTAGGAGTTGATTGAGAGGTAATAATTAAGGCCATCCAATGGAGTCAACTAAAAGGTTTCCTTTGATTTGAAGAGAAAAGAACATGTTTATTTTCAATTGTCACAGTATAAAATTGATGGTCCCAACACTGCATTGTTTTAAACTCTGAAGTCAGTCTTGAAAACAGGACTTCCTTTTCATACTTGAACTAAGTAAGAAGCTCTTCTGACATACCGCTTACACACTTCTCTATGGGTTTGAACATCCACCTAGATTCCATATGAATGGAGAGTGACTAGCACATATAAAATTCTAGAAAAGTTACCACATTGTAGAAGGCACTACAGCTTCAGCTTGTGCTCCCGTTGCCCATTTTGAACCCAGTTTCTTTTTTATAAGGGCGTCTTTGCCACCTACAGCTGACAAAACACACTGCAATATTCATAGTAAGGTTGGAAATGTCAAGAAAGTTTAAAAAAATGCTTACTTTGTGGGTAGACCCAATGATTCTAAACACTGAATACTAATACATTACTATTAGTATTCAACACAGTTGCTCTTCCTTTTGAAAGAGAACAGTAGCATGCATTGTCAGTTGTTTTGTAATCCACTTATTTAAGCAATTTTAATCTGTAAAACTATTTTAAAGAAAAACTGCTGTCCTAAACAGTGAGCAAAAAGAAAACACAATAGTGAGAATTTAACACAATCACTGTAAATCCCGTGAAATGTTAAAACTTCTTACATACTTTGCACTTACAATGGTGTGTATATATCTGCACCAATTTCAAGCACATCATCAAATTGTATATAATGAAATTTTTCTCTTAAAAAAGTGAAATAATACAAAATTCAGTAACTAGCATTTTTTAAAGAGCCACCAATGCTTATCTCCAGTCTCTAGGGCTTGTACAAATTTGGATGACTGATGTTCAATTTATTTGCAATGGTTCCTGGCAAACACTCACAAACCACATGACAAGTGTGTCAGCCACCATGGAAATGCAGATTTTAGAAGATGAAGAGTCTAGGTAACCTGTGGTATTTTCACAATGTCCATGCTTTATCTCCTTACTCAGTAACAAGATGTCCACAACATCACCTGACAACTGGTGCGCCTGTCTTTATGCCCAACTAGATCTCTTCCCTGTTTTACATCTTGTTGAGAGAATTAAAAGCTTTGGATTTTATTCCAGCGTTGAGTGTAGAGGTGCATTCGTTGGTCCTATACTGCTTCAGTTTTGGTAGAGAGGTTTTCTTCATTTGGCTGACAATTTCCATTTTGCTGCACTTTATTTTCTTCAGTCCTTGGTGTATCTTTATCATCTACTTCTTTGCCCACACTCGAATCTGGCTCTTTATTGTGCTCCTTCTCCTACAATGAACATTAAGGTACACATTTACTGTTTTCTTCAAGAACTACTATTGCTAAGTGATCTTAACTTCATCTTTTGTGAATGAATGAAACTGGGTAATTTTCTTCCATTATATGTCCTTCATACTGGACATAAAAGACAGAAAACCCATGGAAACTACATCAGGTATCAGTGAACAGAAGGAAGTGTACAATAAATATTGCCAACAGATCTGAAAAAGGGAACAGATCTACTGAAAGAGTGGAAGAACTTCAAAAATGCCATGAGAAACAAAAATAGGGAAATATAGAAAAGAGTGTCATTATTCCTGTGGTCCGTAGGGGGCATCTTTCAACTTGACTGGCTTTGGGGTATGTATGTCTGCGTGGGTCACAGAGGCTGGCCTTGGGGTCTGCACCCGGCACCTGGTTCCTTCCTCTCTGGTGCTCTTCCCCTGCTCTGCTTTGCCATCAACTGAGCAGCTTTGCTCCATTAAAACCCTGCAGCCCGCCGACTGTGGGCTGAAACATTGAGCACATTAACGTTGTATGTGCTGAGCACTGTGTCCAGGAGTGGGAACTCTGACTAATGCAGTTTCCCTTTAAAAAGACTGCTCAAGAATAGGTACAGTGAGGCACATCTGTAATCCTAGCTACCTGAGAAGGTGAGGCAGGAGGACCAAAAGCTTGAGGCCATCCTGGGAAAGTCAGAAAGACAATACCCTGTCTCAAAATTTAAAATTTTAAAAGGGTCAGTGGATGTAGCTTTGTGGGAGAGTGCTTTCCTAGAAAGTATGAGGTCTTGGGTTCAACCACCAGTATTAAAAAAATAAGACTAAATTCTGTCCTCAGCTTAAAGGAGAATAAATGGGAAGAGTGCCTGGCACACAGTACATTCAATAAACATTATGATGAACCTTTATACAATCAATGCAAGCTCCAGAACAGCTGATTTCCAAATATCAATAACCTTTAGCAGGATAGGGGAACGTCTTCAAGTATCTTTAAAAAATATAAACTTGGCAGAATTTAGTTTTCCGTAACATCATATTCAACAAACTTAATTTTAACTACGTATTACAAAACCAATGACAACCCAGTCTTGTTAAAGTTAATGAAACACATATTGTGGAAAATGGCAACAGACAAAAAGCGTTTTTATAAATACATCAAGTACATTCATTACCTGTAGGTTTTCAAAAGAATTTACTGGTATGCTACTTCCTGATTCTCTAAGATAGGGAATGCGACTGTTTAAATTTTCATTGGTTCTCACCTCTTCAAAACTTAGTTTTTAAAAACTACCAAGTATTTTAAAATACCAACAATGCACAAGATTTTCTTGCCTTCGTGAAGCTTTCTATTTAAAACTGCTTTCATGTGGAGCAGGTGGTACACACCTGTAATCCCCAGTACTCTGGCAAACGGAGGCAGGAAGACCCCAAGTTTGAGCCCAGCCCTGCCACTTCAGTGACTTAGCAAGAGCATGACTCAGAATTAAAAAAAAAAACAAGTGCTGGGTTCAATCCCTAGCACTAAATAAACAAACAAAAAAATGTTCAGAACTGCTTCTATGTGATAAAGAATAACCTCAATTATTCAGTAACCCCAGTAACCAGGCACTGGTGCTTACTTTAACTGAAGCAGTGTTCTTCTCCAGTTTCTCCTTCCCATCTCTATCATTAGAACTCTTTCTTGTGGAAGTTGAACGCTCTCTTTCTCTTCTTTCACTGATGTGGTCCCTTTCTTTCTCTCTTTTTTTATCCTTCTTATTTCTGCTACAAGAATATTGGTAATATTTCAGTTAATTTATAAGAAATTAAAGACCTATGTTCTTAACAAAATATATGTAACACTGGCTATCTAAAATAATACATTTTGGGGCTGGGATTTAGCTCAGTGGCACAGTGCCTGCCCGGCAAGCGCAAGGTCGTGAGTTCAATTCCCGGTACCAGAAAAAAACCCAAAAAAACAAAATAATAAAATAATACATTTTAAATAAGCATCCTACTGAGCTGGTTTGACAAAAAAAAAAAAAAAAAAAAAAGGTCATATAACCCTTCCTCCTCTACCCCTTAGCCCAGTTAGCTTTTTAAAGATATTCAAGTCATTTTGTAGCAGCCATTACTATATATGTTTGCATAAAACACAATTTGAATTTACTACTTTTTAAAGTCACTTTTGTAAGATTACTGGAACAAGGACAGTAATACAATGTCAATCCTATATAAACAGTACTATGTTGTTTAGGAAATGACAAGGAAAAATAGTCTCATCAGGGTCTGGGAGGTAGTTCCACAGCAGAGCACAAAGCACATGCTCCTAGCACCTAAAAAACAAAAAACTCCAAGTATATATATATAGATATATATAGATATATATAGATATATAGATATATAGGTATATATATGTATATATATTTAGTGTAGATCCCATTTTTTTCATATATTTTTCATTTGTGTTTAGTTTAATCTGCAGATTAGCAACAGAGTACAAACCAACTGTATTTAGTTTTAAACTCTGACTTTCATTATTATCAAAAAATAAACAACCACAAGCAAGAAAGTAACAACTTCCTGATGGGAAACATGTTGCTTATACTTTGGTAAAGTCTTTTAAAATAAATTTGTTTCTTATAACTAAAAAACCACAGAAAATCAACTGAAAAAAAACCTAAATATAATCAGTAAAGCAGTGGGATTAAAAACTAAACATAGAGATATCAGTCACTTTCCTTACGTACAAACCAAATCAATGCCTAATTTGGTGACATAACAAAAGAAAAGACTTCAAAACGGAACAAGGAGGAATACCTAGGAATACATTTAGGAAATTTATATAACCTGTACAAAACAATCAGACATTCCTGAAAAACACAAATACTCGACTGATAAAGGAGAAAGAGGTACCACATTCCTGGACAGAAAGACTAAGAGTCATAGAGCTCTATTTATTACTCTATCTGTATATTCATTTTCCCTTAGTTTAGAAATTTAATGCAATTATAACACCAATCAACAGGTTTTTACTTCTGGAACCTAAGCAATCGACTTAAGTTCAAAGGAGAAAAACCCATACATGGTTAGGAAAGCTTAAGAAAAGAGTAATGAGGGGCATGGAAATAAGACAAGCCTTACCTTTTTTTGCACTCACTAAGTTACATACTCAGACCCCCATTATTTTAAATACTTTACAATCTCAATAATCAAAAGCATTGGGCAACAGCACAGGAATGGTCAGTTACGCTAATAAAACAGCATAGAAGACTCAGATCCAAACATAAACAAAAAATTTAGAATATGACAAAGCAACATTATTAAACTATTTCAAAAACTTGAGTTTCTAATAAATAGTACTAGAATACACAGAAACATTTGGAAAAATACAACTGGGTCCACATACCATATTATGTAAAGATAAAATCTAACAGACCAAAGATTTAAATGCCAAAAAAAAATATCCATAGAAATACAATTTATTGGGGCTGGGGATTTAGCTCAGCGGCACAGCGGCCTGCCTGCCAAGTGCGACATCATGAGTTCGATTCCCGGTACCGGAAAAAAACAAAAAAAAGGAATACAATTTATTGCCGGGCATGGTGGCGCACTGGCGACACACGCCTGTAATCCTAGCACTCAGGAGGCTGAGGCAGGAGGATCATTTTGAGTTTGAGACCAGCCTGGGCTACAGTGAGCTCAAGGCCAGCCTGAACTGCATCGTGCGACCCTGTCTCAAAAAGTCACACACACACACACAAAATACAATTTATCATAACCTTGGAATGTGAAACAGCTTTCTAATTTTATGACTCAAAATATGTCACAAAAAGAAAAATATTCAGAAATTTTTAAAAATAAAAAACTTTTATAAATCAAGTTTCATAAATCCAAAAAGAAATGACAAACTATGAATATCTACACTCAAATCAGTAAACAATAAACTCCCTAATATAAAAAGAATTGTAAAAACCAGGTATGGTAGTGCACACTTGAGATCCCAGCTCTCTGGGAGGCTAATGCAGGAGGATCTCAAATTCAAGGTCAGCCTGGGTTAAATCAGCAAGACCTTGCCTGAAAATAAAAAGGGCAGCCAGGTGAGTACCGCCCACCTGTAATCTCAGCACTCAGGAGGCTGAGGCAGAAGGATCATTGTGAGTTTGAGGTCGGCCTGGGCTACACAGTGAATTCAACACCAGCCTAAACTACACAGTGATACCCTGTATCAAAAACAAAAACTACTTTAAAACTGTTTTAAAATAAATAAATAAGGCCAGGCATGGTGGCACATGCCTGTAATCCCAGCACTCGTGAGGCTAAGGCAGGAGGATCACCATGAGTTCGAAGTCAACCTGCGCTACACAGAGTTCAAGGCCAGCCTGAACTACATAGCATGACTCTGCCTCAACCTCCTCACACAAACAAATAAATAAATAAAGGGGGCAGGAAGTGTAGCTCGGTGTGAAGGCACTGGGTTCAATTAAAAAAAAGAGAAAGAAAGAAAAACAAAGAGCTGTGGAAAATAGACAAGGGAAAGGCATAAAAAGGCTTCAAAGTAAAACAGGGAAAGTATATCACAGAAAAGAAAATACAAATGGCCTTAAAATATACAGATGGTCACCTTCACACATAGTAAGAGAAATTCAACTAGAATTATACTGTTAAGGATGTCACTTCTTACCTACCAAACGGACAAAATCCATAACTTTGATAGCAATCTACTGTAGCTATTACAAGCACACCTTCTAACCCGACAATAGCACTTCTGGAAATTTTTCTACACACATGTATACTACAAAGCAATGTTAAGTCCAAAGCTATTTGTTACAGAATTATGTAATTTATAATAGGAAAACTGAGAAAGCCCAGTATACCACAGGCAGGTTAAAAAAACAACAGTACCACCACACAATCAGAGTCCATTCAATTATACATGGAGTGAAGACACTGTATCTCAACCATACGGAAGCAACGAGTGTTCAACAGTATGTATTTTGTGCTTCTTATATGAAAAAAACAAGATTATTCTCAGATCTGTATACAAAACTGGAATACACAGAAAAACTAGTAATATCATTACTTAAGGGGACAGAGTGGATGAATACATGGGTAAAAGACACTATAACTTTCTAGATTAATTTCTGAAGGATACAAAGGTTATTACTCATTCAAAATACAAAATTTTTAGAAGATTAAAAAGATAATTTAAATTTTTTTTAAAAATTTCCTGCTGCTTCTCAGTTTTAGAACATGCCTTCTAAAACTAACCTCCTAGGGGATGGAGACCTGGAAGATTTCCTTTTTATGGTTTTTGATGCTCTTGGTGACCTGGAAGAACTCCTGCTTCTCCTCCTGCGCCTATCCCTGAAAGCAAAAAAAAGGGTCACTGAATAACAAGTGAAGTAACAGGCAGATCAAACATATAAAAGCAAAACAGTTTCTGATCCCCTCAAGCGCGTAGCCCTCCTCAGAGGCCTGTTTTTTTAATTTATTGTACTTATTTAGGCTTTTTACTGGGTATTTTTCTAGGCTGGGGATGAATCCTGGGCCCTGTGCCACTGAGTTACATCTCTAGCCCCCAAAATTTCTTGAGTAGAACAATATAAATGATGCTTATAAATGATGTTTCAGAGTCCCTCAAATATGTTCTTCTGCAGTATCTGTAACATATTCTGCCTATCACAAGACCCTCTTGTCATGTATCTAGCTCCCTGCTGCCCCACTGTGGATTATTTTGTAACAAACACATTCTTCAAGAACTGAGTAAGTCAGCTTGTAAAATGTAAACTATCTAATAAGCTCAAGTACTCCAAAAAGGCATTTAAATCAGTATCATTTTATAGAGAAATTGCTTTTCCCTCCAACCTATAATTTTATTACTGTTCTATTAAATTAAAATTACACAAATTACCTACATATGAAATACTAAGTTAAACTCTAGGATTTAAAGCTGGGTGTGGTGGCACATGCCTGTAATGTCAGCACTCAGGAGGCTGAGGCAGGAGGACTGCTGCGAGTTTGAGGCCAGTTTGAACTACCTAGCAAAACCTCATCTCAAAGACAAAAAAAAAAACCTAGGATTTAAACATAGCAGAGTAAGAGTTGCTACATAAATTAACAATGTTTATTATTATAAACCTGTGTAAAACCCAAATGATGCATAGTGTAAATTACTTCATTTTTTAAAATTACTTCATTTTTAAGAGTGATCAATTTAGAAACAAACTTCACCATGTCCATAATTCAAGGCACAAGATGTAAGGATGCATGAATTAAATGATTAACATATTCAGTGATCTCTTATAAGGAGCTCAGATAATCAGTGACTGAACAGTAGCTGAAACAAATCAATCCTTTCGAACTCAAGCTCTCCTTGGCATCTCTTATTTTTCTTTTCTAAAATTAAAAACTTAATAAAGTCAGTATTATTAGTGGTATACATGGGAGATGTTCAAAAGGACTCAGGAAGCTCAAAAGCTTTGAGAACAAAAATATTATTCAAGGGGCTGGGGATTTAGCTCAGCGGCAAAGCGCCTGCCTGGCAAGCGCAAGGTCGTGAGTTCGGTTCTCGGTACCGGAGAAAAACCAAAAAAAAAAAAAAAATATTATTCAACCCGAGTCTGTATATTCAACTGGAAAATAAGGGTAATTAATAACTCAAGACTTACAGTGTTGTTGTAAGGCTAAGTATCAGCCATAGAGCCTGGTGCAAAGTAGAATTTGATAAGTATTTTTTTTCCTTTCTTTCCTTTTTGTTCCCAGTGCTGAGAGCCAAACCCAGAGCCTCCCACTGGGCTACACTCCTAGCCCTCTTTTGTTTTAGGTACTCATTCTTATTGATAATAACTTTTAAGCACTGAAATTCTTTAAAATTTCAAAATGTTCTTTAAAAATATATATTAGGCAACACTTTAATACTTTAAAAAATTTCAATGCCTGGGCAACTTAGCAACACCCTTTCTCTTAAAAAAAAAAAAGTCACTGGGCATACAGCTCAATGCAAAGGATCAGAGTTCAATCCCCTGTACTCTAAGCACGGGTACAGATGTACTATCAACAGAGTGGGAGACAATGTTGGAAATAAAAATGAAGCAGCCTATGTCTGAGCAATTAGAATGTCTCCTACTCAGTAACCATCTTGAAAGCAGGAAAATGCAAAACAATAGAGAAACTGTCTTTTTGTTGAGCTTTTCTGAAGTAAAAACATTCCATATTGTTGCACTTTTATGAACTAACACTAGCTGCTAGCCATCTCCTATTCTCTAGGCCCCAGGGGTTATTTTAGAATAGGACTAAATGTGACCATTTGAACTTCTAAAAGATCAAGTGACTTAAAATGGTCAGTACAAAACTAAACCTTCTGTTTGTTTTTATTTTTTGTGGTACTGGGGATCAAACCTAAGGTCTTGTACATGCAAAGCAAGAGCTCTTCCACTGGGGCCACATCCCCAGCTCGAAAAATTAAACATTTCAAGGTCTTCAGAGAAAGTACATTCAAGGTATTAAAAAGGAGCCAAAGCATCTGGTGCCACAAAGGATAATGTCTAGTCATACAATCAGGAAGGCATGTATGACACAATCAGTAAAATCACTCTGCAGTGAAGCTGCAGCCACAGGCTAAACAGATAACCATAACAAAACAGTAGAGTTTTTCAATTTTGGGTTCAATGTGCTGAGATGTAACAGTAATCTATTTTAAACCCCACTGTAACATAAACTATTGCTTTCAACTTCGTGGTTCTGAAGCAGTGTCTAAAAGCAGATACTAATTACTGGTTGGAAAATTCTCAAACTTCATTTCTAGAAAGAAGGAAAGGGGTTCGCTGTATTTCTGACCCTGAACTGCAGAGCAGATGGACCATGCTTCAGTTTCTTCATATTTTTACAACACCAGTAACAATCTTCTCACAAACTTGTGAGGGCTATATAAAGTGAAACCTGAGAAGTCTGCAGTTTATCTTTTATTATCTTTTGATATTTGTCAAAAACTAATATTAAGAATATACTCTCAAACTCACAACTTTGGGTTTTTTTGGTTTGTTTGTTTTTTTTTTTTTTTTTTTGAAATAAGGTCTCACTATGTAGCTCAGGCTGGCCTCAAACTCATGGAAATCCTCCTGCCTCAGCCTCCCAACTGCTGGGATTACAGGTGGGCACCACCATGCCTGGCTCAAACTCACAAATTTTAAAAACAGGAAAAATATTCCTTTATCTCAAATTGTTTGCTACGAAAAAATATTTTTGCCAAAGCGTGTATTTTTTAATTTTAAGATACACTTTGATGCAAAATTAGAAACTTTATCTATAGTCATGGTATACGGAATACAGTACGTGGGTTTAGTTAACCTTGAGGAAGACTTTCATGTGTAACTGTTATTATGGCAACCTGCTGCCACCTGATGGCAGTGTACCTATCAATAAATCTAGAGAACAGTTGTGGGGGGGAGGAGGACTACATGTGATAAAGGAGAATCAAAATTTAAATGTCCGTTTTATTTTGGGGGGGGAGGACAGGTTCTCACTATGTACACTATGTACTTCAGGCTGGCCCCAAACTCATGGTGATCCTCCTGCCTCAGCCTCCCAAATGCTACGATTATAAGCGTGCACTACCATGCCCAGCTCAAAATTTAAATGTCATGTATTCAACAGAGAGGTAAAAACCAGCATAGATGACAGAAAAAAAAAATGACACTGCAACTTCACGAACTATTTTGCATGTTGAAATTTACCACACTGGTCCAAACAAATACAGACACATAAGAGGTCAATTTAAAAATATACACATACATTTATGTCTGTATCTCTTTATGTGTGTGCATATATGTATGTGTATATGTGAGATCAATTAATATATTAGTATGTATATATACCACATATGTACACGCACACAGAATTCTAAAACAGCTTCCCTAACATCTACCCTGCAAGAAAACAAAAACAGTAATAATAAATTAACTGGGTTATGCACTATGAAGGACAGCTAGTTTTGCAAATAATTTTGTCCAAACATCATCTCTTTCCCCTCCTCACACGTTCAATACTGTAACAATCCCTCAGCCAGGGAAGTATTCACTTTACAGTTAAGTAGACGAAATGTTCCCTAATTACCACATGGGCTCACCTTGCATGAAATAATTTCTCCCTTACTTAAAACTCTGTATTTTCATTGGTCATCATTAAACCTCGGTTTAAAAAAAAGTGTGAAAGCGTATCAAACCTGCTGGAACTACGCGATCTTCTCGATGCATTGTAACTCCTGGGGGGTGTTCTGGACTTTTTATCCTTCTTCCTTTTTTCGTCTATCTCTTTGGATCTGTCCTTTTCTCGTTCCTTTTCTTTGTCCTGTTCCTTTTCCTTCTCTTTGTCTCGCTCCTTTTCATGCTCTTTTTCCCGCTCTCTCTCTCTGTCCTTGTCCTTGTCCTTGTCCCGGTCTTTTTCTCGTTCTTTGTCCCGGTCTTTGTTTTTGCCCCGTTCCTTTTCTTTCTCCCGTTCCTTTTCCCTCTCTCTCTCTTTTTCCCTTTCCTTTTCTCTATCTTTCTCTTTTACTCTTTCCTTTTCCTTCATCTTTTCCCGAATATCTTTTCTCTTGTCCCTTGAAAAACAAAAATAAATCGGTAAGTAAATAATTCTCCCCCCTGGGAGCCTCCCTCTTTCTTTAGCAATTAGTGACAGAAAATCATTTACAACAGCCGTAGACGTTGCATATACACGTGTAAGTCACTCCAGTGCACATGAAGTTGCTCAATAAAGCAATTACCAGGCTGAGCTGAGTCATCAGGAAACTCATGAGTCATACTGACCATCAGATTCAAATCAGTGGCACTCATTATTAATCCTTTACTACTAAAACAATCAGAAAGAAATTTTATTTCTCATTAAAAGCCTAAACCACAAAAGAAAAAAATCAATCACTAAACTAGTGACTTTTGAAATTACTCATAACTTCTCTAAAACTCACCGTGAACGTGAACGACTCCTTGATTTCCGTCTCTCCCTCGATTTGGAGCGTTTTTTATGTGGGCTCTTGGATCTACGTCTGTCCTTCTGTCTCGAACGTGATCTGTTATGGGATCTACTCCTGAGGAAAACAAATTGTTAGAAATTCAAAATCAAAACTTATCCTTAAAATTTCTTTTGTAAAAAACTGAAGACCTAAGAGAATTTAAAAGTGTATCCTAACAGGATTTGCCAATATTTTAAAATTTGCCTTACATAACGTTTTGTTTACATTACTAGAAATTAAGTTTACTTACAGGCAACTTTACCAGATACTTTGTCTAGAACACAAAACGAAGAATTTGAGCCAGGCATGGTGGTGTACACCTGTAATCCCTGCACTTGGGAACTGAGGCAGGACTGCTGTGAGTTCGAGGCCAGCATGGACTACATAGTGAGTTCAAGGTCAGCCTGAGCTGCATAGTGAGACCCTGCTTCAAAAAAAAAAATTATCTCCTCAAATTATTATAGAAGATAGATATTTCCCACAATCTAAGTTTTCCATGCCATAAATTATCTTTAACTCTTGGCATGTTTATATGCTAGTTTCGACTCATCTTGATGGGTAGCAATGGTATATGTTCAAAGTAATTTCCTTTTTTTTTTTCTTGTAACAGGGTCTTGATGGGTAGTTCAGACTAGCCTGGAACTCACAGTGATCCTTCTGCCTCAGCCTTCCAAGTGCTGGGACTGATTATAAGCATGTGACATCATGCCCAGCCTATTCAAAGTAATTTGTATAAATGGCCATGTACTGTTTGTCACAACAAACAGAAGCACAGAACTTAATGACAGCGCTAGTGCAACAGAAAAATAAAAATCATTACTCATGAAGTAAAACTAGATATAACCAAATGCTAGACTTGGCAATGACTTGATTTTATAGCTCCAACTATAATCATAGCTACTGAAAGAATCCATTATTACTGGAATTCTTCTAGAAAAAACTGTCTTTTCGTTATGGATAGGACCCCTTTTTCCAACAGAAGAAATGGGTTTTGGAATTTTTAAAATTTTTTTTCATAATGAAGTATCCCAGGCACTACTTACTAAAATGTAACAGAACAGATGGATACAACTCAGATAACAAAGGGATCAGATTCACTACCGACTCTGGAGCGTAACCGTCTGCCTCTGAGAGCCAGCTTTGCCACTGGCTAGGAGGGCTCTCTGGCTAGTCACTAACCTCAGGGAGTGAGAATCACACCTGTGCCCACTACAACTATCACAAAAACTGAATCACAGGATGTTAGGGAAACCGTCTTGCAGTCTCTGGCACAGAGAACCTCATGCTTAAAATCTTGATTCTCAGTATCATCATCACTATCAAAATTTAACACAAATGTAAACTTCACATTTTTATTTATTCAAAGAAGGTTTAATGAACTTCCATAAGTATGATGGTCATTTTGATGGTCTGGTTTCAATATGCTAAATTACAGCAAATATCCATAAGATAAATACACAGTTAAGTGACCATATTTGTGGTATGCTCTAAAACCAAAAACATCCTCAGATAATACTCAACATCCCAGGTTCCGTACAGGGGATTGAACCCAAGACCTTCACACAGCACCCACCCTTTTTAACATTTTTATTTTAAGGCAGGATCTAAATTGGCCAGGCAGCACTTGAACTTCCCAGGCGGCAGTTTCCCAGCGTACAGGTGTGCACCACCATGCTTGGCTTGAAATCTTATTTTAAAATACATTTTTCAGTTAGCCAGAATTTGATTTCCTACAGCTAATTTTCAACTGCTCATCTATTATACTGCTTTAAAGATAATATATTTGTCTTTATACCATATTTTTAATACAAGAAGATCACTCAAGCGTTCAAATCTTGATTTTTTTTTTTTGGTCCCGGGAATCAAACTCAGGACCTCACATTTGCCAGGAAGGCACTGTGTCACTGAGCTATATTCCCAGCCAGATCATCTTCTGAAGTGCCTTTGATTTTATTTTTTAGTAAAATTTGAGATTTCTGTTCTAGTTAGTCTTGCTAAAAACATACACAATTCTTTCATTTTCCTCAAAGCAGTGCTTTCTAACAGTAAAAAGAAACTTCCTTTAAAAATGTAAGCACAGCCATAATAAATGAGTTAATGATAATAAAAGGAAAAAAAGCACTGATCATCTGGCTTCCTACCTTACCCTGTAGGTCCCGAGAGTTCAAAAGTCACTGCTCAAGAGTAATTATTATATTTAAATTTTGACATTAAATATTTCATATCTCTATCTCAACCACTAGTAGTTTTCTGGGTAAGAAGGCTAAAAGCAGTGAAGAATAGAGCTAATCTAACCAAAGATAAGGAAGAGTTGTTATTAACAATTTCTGCATTTTTAATATTTTGCAAAATTATATTTTTAAAGTAAACTGTAAATACATAGCAACTTACCATCATATTGCTTCAAAGTTAGTTTGTAAATCAGTTGTTTTCCATTAAAACATCCTAAAATGTCACACTTCCTATGCTGGTCTGTAAAGATTACTTACCCTAAAATTACAATTATAGTACTGCCCCCCTTTTCCAAGACTCTTTTTAAGAATAAAACATGTATCAAAGTTGGAGGCAGTGGAAATGTATCTAAGTACTAGGCAGCACACAATCACAAGAAATCTCCTTTTTCCTTTTACAGCAAGGAGAGGAAGGAACAGAAAAGGGAGAGGAGGAGCTTGTGCTGGGGAAGTCACTCTCTTTTTCACTTTTCGGCTTTTTAAGACCGGGTCTCGCCCTGCAGTTCAGGCTGGTCTTGAACTCACTTTGAGCCCAGGCTGGCCTCAAATTTGCACTGATCCTCCTGCCTCAGTCTCCCAAGTCGTGGGATTATAGGCGTGCACATCTGGCCTTAGTAATCTTTTTAAATTGACATATGTAATAATTGTACATATTCATGGGGGCACACATAGTGTAACAATTCAATACATTTATAAAACATGTAGTGATCAAATCAGAATAATTTAGCCATTTCCAGCTCCTTAAATATTTATTCATTTTTTGCTGGAAACCTCTGAACTCTTCTCTCTTGGTTCTTTGTAAAAACATGTAGTAACCCATATTATAAACTGAAGTAGTAACCCACATTGTAAACTGAAGTCATCCAGCTCTGCTGGAACGTGAGACCTTATTCCTATCACTTCACTGTATTTTGGTATCCAACCTCCCTCTACTTTTCTCTCAGGTGACCAGAACTCTACTTTTATGACAGCAAATTTTTAAGTCCCCACGTGTGAACAATAGCTGTCTGTCTGTCCCTGGAGTAACAAACCCTACAAAGATCTGAAGATGGGATAGAAGTAGAAGAGGGTGGGCCCAAAAGGAAGGACTCTTGTTAAGTCTAATGGGTTAGAGCAAGACCCAAGAATACCAGCTACCACTGGCATGATGGGAAAGCCAAGAAAGGCTTGTCACACCCTTCCCGACTCCTGTGTTTATCGGTAAGATATATTCTTTTCCCCTCTGTGAAGAAAAGTACCCTGCTTTGTACTTATGAACTTTGTAAAAGCTAGGTGTTTGTAATAAAAGCAGAATATGCTGACCAAAATCAAAATAAAACACTTTGGGGATACATGACCAAGACCTACTATCTCTAATGCTACATAGATAACATAAAAGTGTTCTCAGGACTATCAAGAACAATAATAAATTTCAATGTAGACCAAGTAATAAAAACCCCTGGAGAAGAATATATCCATATATACAGTAAAAACCTTAAAATGGGTAGTGGACAAAATATTTGTTATAATTTCAAAAACCACATAAAGGTTCACATAGATTATCGAGGAAACGATGTTAACCATCAAGTTTTAGTTTGTCCAGCCTTGGAGTTTTACTTTCTCTTACAATAAACCCCTCAAAATGAGATTCGGGACATTGGTCTCTTTTTTCCTAAGAGAACTTATTATTCTTTAACAAAGTTTTGCATTTCCTTTATCTCTTTTACCCTGACCACACCTGCCAACATATGGGAACGCCCAACCTAGCACCCAGTGTTGCCAGTCTGCCTGCTCTCTCCCACTGACTCCAGCTGCCCTGCTTTATATTCCTTGTACACGAAATGATCACCTTCACACGATTCTGAACTTGCCTTCCTATAGGACCTTAGCCATAATAAAACCATATTCCAAAGGAGAAATTGCAAACTGAGGATAACAGCTAAGTATATAACAGCAAATAGCTAGTAGTTTCCTAGACTCAAAGAAAGAAATCATAGTAGTTCATTTCGTTCCTTGAAGTCTCCTTAATCATCACAGAAAAACAAGCTAAACTTGCCTGTGAGGCTCAATGTACAGTACCCCAGTTCTTCCTTTCCTTTCCCACAAACCACCCCCCTTCTGTAAAACCCCACACAGGCCCACTTTTCTGTCCCTCTTCAAGACCAGAGTAACGTAACACACAATTTAGGATCTACTATATACCCTTTCAAAGCCCCCACCACCACCCTGAAGGCAGAAGACAGGATTTGTAAGGTACTTTCCAAGCAAGACAGTATGTCTCCTTTTCACCAATCACAAAGCAAAAAAAGATAAAAAGAAAATTAAAAAGCTATAGCTATGATCAAAAATAGGATAAACACGACAGAAACAGAGCTTAAGCACAGGACAATGTCACTGCTGAGGTTCCAGGTTACTGCATGGTGTCAGTAGTGGGCAGAGAAGGCTCTTTCTTATCACCAGGAATACCAAGGACTTGAAGAACTCCACTTGACACATGGTCCTGGAGAAAGAAAACTGCATGGAACCACATCCGGGGTAGTATTCCCCGGACCTGGAGTGGACTAGGGGAGAGAAAAGAAGCTGCAACCCAAACAGTATTTTCAACACGGCCATTAAATATGTGCCATTTCCTCAATCTGAAGAATGAAAAGCTCCTGCCATTTCTACGTAAAGACTAGCTTACTACTAGGAAAACCGAACAGCACCCTTTTTATTTTTTCAGGTACTAGGATTCAAGCCCAGGGTCTCACACATGCTGGGTATGCACTCTAACACTGAGCTACAACTACAGCCCAAGAACAGAGCATCTTCAGATAGAAAACCAACGTCTAAACTGAAAATCAGTTGAAGTATTAAAAATTATCAGACGAAACTTCATCCTAACTACAGTATGACAATCAGAGCAGTTTCTAAAGGTGACTACACTTCCAGATGAACACTATGAAATTTCTAAATTGCTCTTTTAACAGAAATTCATAAATTTTTATTTTAAATGAAAAATTGAAAAGCATGATAGCAGAAACTCTCACCTGTGTTTTGACTGTGATCTCTTCCTTCTAGAATGGGACTTTGAGCTAGACCTGGACTTTGAGCGAGTGTGGGAACGAGATCGACCGCCTTTTCTTTCATTGCTCTTTCCAGACTCTGAGAGGAAAAAACCACTTTGCAGTGTAAGCTCAGAACAATTAAAGATCCCAGTTAATAATTAGGCACAAGTGGAATGTACCACATATAGTGCAAGGGGCCTACTCTCTGTACATCCTCCGCCTGTGCAATTATCCTTCAGAAACATCCAAGAAAGTCATTGCATAAACTCGTTGAGTGCAGCCACCCTGCAGCAGTACATACAAACCAGATGATTATAAACAGCTGTTCGTAATATTTTGTTGCTGCCATAATGTACGATTAAAACATGTCTGCAATTTCTATGACAGTGATTTTACATTCTTCCTCTATTTACTTATTTATCCTGCTGGAATTGAAGCTTAGGTTCTGAGTGTTAATTTTAAAATTCCAAACGTTTATTTAGTAATACAAAAGTATGACTGTTCCTCTACCTTGTTAAAACAGAGTATCTGTACTTTTTTCTAAATCACAGTTAAAATTAAAACTTTAAGGAAAGTAAGCCTGCTTGATTCCAACAGTTTAAATATATCTGCACTTTTCTTTTTAGCCTCATAATAACACTTATACTTTGATTTCAGCAAATCAGTCTCAACACCAATTTTGCTACTAAAATATAGAGCTAACTAACTCAGGTAATGTGCCTTGATTTGGTACTATGGGAAAGAACAGACATGTGCTAAGTCATTCTTTGAGTAAGCCACTTACTATTTCTTGAGTTTCAATCTTCTTATTGGTAGAACAAAGCGACTGAACAATATAATTTCTACAACTCCTTTAAGTCCTAAGGTTCTGTGTCTTTAAACTTATGACCTATGTAACAACACCATGGCCTTACCTGGTTCAATGGCTGCTGAGATAAATGACTGAGCTTCTCGTACTCGCTTCATTACTTCTTCTAATTCTTTAGCTGCAGCCTGAGGTGTCATCTCAGGGGGTTTTACTATTGCATTGTTGGAGTGATTTATTCTAAATTAAAAATATTAGCATATCACAAACACACACCATATTTTATAAAACATGAAACACTTAAATGTTCATATAATACATATTTAAAATCTGAGGACAACTCAGAAGCACATTAATTCAGCTAAATAATGAATAAACAATCTCATTCACATCTTCCGTCATCACTTGCTAAAAGAAAAAAGCTGAACTCTCACCAACTCCTTTAAATAGCACAAACAGACCAGAGCAACTGTCTACATGGCTTAGAATTATAATAAACCATAATGTTCCTACCAACATTAAAATGAATCCTTTTTACCCTCAGAGCATAAGATTTCACTATTAATCTGTACACCCTGGCAGGATGAATGGAAAGCTCTATATTATGTGTATCATTTTAATCAACCCTGTTCCATGGCTTAGACACAACTTGACAGGAGGGATCTGATAAAATTTCCACTACTAGGCAAGAGAAGCTTCTCTGAGGCTTCATCTGAATCTGACGTGTCTTGCCTTACCCACTGCACAACGAAGATAAGCACCCACTAAGAACAGTTATTTACCCTTTAACAGCAAAACACTGATCAAATTGTGTAACAAAAACAATCACCTATGAAATAGATAAAAACTGTCTGCCTTAGTGATCTACATGAAACAATTTCTGGTCTTCAGTATCTGAAAGACATCAATTTTTTTTTTACAAATAAAAATATGAACCAATCTTAGAAAGTCAAAATATCTGGTTTAAAATTTTTCTGGGCACTTGTTTTCTTCACAGGATTTTAGCAAAATTATTTCTTATTATTGGAAGTATTGTGATTCAATCTATACATTAAGTTGTCCATAAATTTAAGTCATTTTACAAAACCCGCCCATACTGACACTTATAGAAAAAGACCTAACACTATTAGTAGGTTATATAATGTTAATAGTATATCAGACCTTTGAAATAGAAAATGAGAAAATAAGACAAATGTCCTTAAACACAATTTTAAGAAACCGAAAGGCTAAAATCACATGTATTTCATTACATACTTAACAGTCTTCCTTTCCACAAATTGCCAATTACTATTAAAAAGAAAAAAAGCCTTAATTCCATCCAATATACTTTATAATTTTTTCAAAATCATTAAAATTTCTTTGTTTAGGATTTCTTACTTCAGTGGCCTGTCTCCAAACATAACTCCATTAAAAGCAAGGGCCCTTGGTACAGAATTTTGGTCTGCAAATTCCACAAAAGCAAACCGAGTTGGCTGAGTCTCATCACCTGCCATCCGCACAAACTTCACTTCTCCAACTTGTTTAAAAAATTCAAGTAGTTGATCAGCTGTTGTCGTCTGAGGAAACCAAGTTGATACTTTTAATAGTGTATTCCTTTTGCAAAATCAAGTATATACTACTTTACCAATATGAGTTTTAAGAAGAAAAAAATAATAAAAGGTACTGCCACTTGGTCTCTAATTTAGTTACCTGGGAATTCAAATTTCCAACATAGACTGTTCTCCTAATTTCATCGATTTTGGAAGGATCTACATTTCCCATAAGCGGTGGTTGTGGTATCTCTCCCAGTGTTGCAATGTTGGGATCTAGTGCTGCTGCTGGTATAGCTCCCAAACTGCTCAGTGACACACCAAGCTATAAGGGGAAAAACACACACAACAGCATGTATTTTCTACTAATATCCCAAACTACCATTCTCTAATCTTGAAAAAAGAGATCAACCCAACAAGAATGAAAGGATAAAGACTCCTACCTTTAAGCCATGTATACTTCTGAATTATCAAAAGTGAGGTCACATTAGTTTTGAAATTCTCATTCAAGGCAGTTATGTTCTATAACATTTCAACAAACAGTATTACTAGATACAGAACCACTGTTCGCAGGGAAGACAGACGGCTATGTTACTAGGAGCCTCTGGTCACAATATTTTCATCACCTACTAAATACGTAACTCTTTCATGCATGTGTTTCTGTGTGAAGGCACCTTATTTAATATGCACTGGTGATTTATTAACATTGAACTCAGGGTCTGTAACATTACAACTCAGAATAATCTGTTTATCAAACATACACACTTTGTTCCTAAGGCACACTGCCTCCAATTTCTTTAACATTTGTCTAAGCAGTAAAATAACCAAGCACAAAAATTCAAAACAATGTGGCACTAAGCAGACCACTAAACTATGCTGGTTTTACAGCATGAATGCCAAAACAAAAAGTCAAGTGTCAATGTGACTTCACAGGAACTGTGCACAATTGTCAACTCAAACTTTTTATTACTCTGTATATTCTGTAAATGGCCACAAAGTAGGTTTTAATAGATTTTTACTTATTAAATGAATTTATAAATACAGAATTCACAGAATCAACTGTAGTTTGGTCATTTAAAACCTCCAATTGTGTAAGTTCTTAATCATTAAATTATCAAAGCATCTCATTAGTAAATCTCATCATCCTTAGTAAAAACAAAAAGAGAGAAGTTTACCTAAGAAATACCTAAAACAGTAAGTTCTTACATATGCTATGGTAGAAAAAGAAAAAAACCTTGATCTTTCCAGAACATTACTAAATTTAGCTAGTTCACACATAAAAGAACATGTTGTTTTTGGAAATAACTGAGGCCTTTACACTAAGCTACATTTCCAGCCCTTGATTTATTTTTAAATTTTGAGACAGGGTCTTGCTAGGTCACTTAGTTACAAATGGAACTTACAACCCTCCTGGCACCAGGCACAACAGCAAAATGGATTTTTTGTTTTGTTTCGTTCTGTTTTGTTTTGTTTTGTTTTGTTTTTTGAGACAGGGTTTCGCTATGCAGTTCAGGCTGGCCTTAAACTCAATTTGTAGCTCAGGCTGGCCTCAAATTCACAGCGATCATCCTGCCTCAGCTTCGTAAGTGCTGAGATTACAGGCATGCACCATCACGCCTGGCTCAAAAATGTTATTTTTAATATAACTTAAACTGAGACAGAAGACTTACAATGTGAAAATGGGAAAAATTTTCAAAATTAACAAGATTTTTCAAGGAAAAAAATGCATCTACCTTCACTTCCATTTATGCCACTGCAGAAAATTTTGACGATGAATGTGCTATGCACCACTAAGCTTTAACAACTGTTAAGTAATGGCACTTCCCAAAGGCAATAACCCAATTCATGAAACTAGTATCACTTCTTTTGGCCACTTCTTTTAAAAATATGCCAAATCATGTTTATACTCTTTCCTAAACTCTTCACTGGCTTCAAAGCCAAACTCCTTTGCACAACCTAAAAAGCCCTATTTAATCATGGTTCTAACCATCCCATCAATATCAAATATCCACTGCCTTTCCCCCACTTGCTATGTTTTAACCACCCTGACCAGCCTTCTGTTTTTTGAACAGAAAAATTGAATGACAAAGTGTTGCCATGGCTGGGCATGGTGGCGCAAACCTGTGATCCCAGCACTCGGCAGGGTCAGGCAGGAGGATCACTGGGTGTTTGAGGCCAGCCTGGGCTACAAAGTGAATTCAAGGATAGGCTGATCTGTACATTGAAACCCTGTCTCAAAACAAAACAAAAAACAAAATGCAAAAAGTGTTGCCTGAAGGATGTGGTGGCATTATCCTGTAATACCAGCCCTTGGGAGGCTGAGGAAGGACTACTGTGGGTTCAAGGCCAGCCTGGGTGACATATGGTCTCAAAAGACAAAACAAACAAAAACAAGAAGCACTGCCATCATGAGCCACAATGCACATTTCCAGAATAATGTATATAAAAATTAAAAAGAATTGAAAGTTTATATTTCAAAGTTTTTAAACACTTTTTATAATCTTGATACACTAAATTTGCAAAGGTTACTTATTAATTTATTCTACATTCAACAACACAAAGCTAGATTCAGCTTCCAATTAAGGAAAGCTATGTTATTTTGTTTTAGGTTTTTGATGAAAAATGGCCCTTTTTGACGGGGGGGGGGTATGTCTTTTTGAGATAGGATCTCGCTATGCAGTTCAGGCTGGTCTTGAGCTCACTTTGTAGCCCAGGTTGGCCTCGAACTCACAACAACCCTCCTGCCTCTGCCTCCCGAGAGCTGGGATTACAGGTGTGCACCCCCATACCCGGCTCAATGGCCCTTCTCTTAAGTAAGAACAGAATCTTCTCTACAAAAACCAAGAACCAAGTAATGGTAGTATCTTTTAATTCTTAGAAATCCCAAGAGGAATTACTATTTAATTCTGCATAGTTCATGGTAAAATACATTTGCCATGTTTTCATCTTCTCAGTAAGAGATGACCACTTCTGAGATTTTTTTCCCCATTGCCAAAGTTGTTGATCATCTCACATTTTTAAAATGGATTTAGTCCTCATTAACTGGAAAGCTCCCACGCTCCTCCAATTCCTTGTGCTATCTAAAATACTGAGTTTTAATAAATCCTTTTCTAATGACTACTCTGCTTGAATTCCCAAATTTAAATGAAGCCTTACTTATTTCAGCAATATTTACAAGAGGCAGCTTAAGTCAGTGATAACACAGGGGAAAAGACTGCAAATGGAGATCTGAAACCTCTCCATTCAAAAAAATAACATAGCTAAAGTGGAAATAGTTTTCTAAGCTCTTTATTCAACTGATTACACAGTTCAGTGTGTGGACCTTCCATAAGAGGTACTTACTTATGAACAGTACTTACTGTAGTCAAGGGGTTTGGGGTTGGTATGGGAAGCAACCCTGCACCAGGCATCAGACTTGTCATGGTTGGAGCAGGAGCCAATAAAGAGAGGGCTTTGGACTCCTCTGGGATTTTACCTGCAGAGGCAAGTTCCAGACATTATGCAGAGCAGAAACACCACACCAACTTTATACTATGATTTTAAAATTACCCTTGCACTTAAAATAATAATAATAATAAATGAATCTATCAGATCTGCATAAAGAAATAAATAAGAATTTAAGTCTTTCCTTTTAGCCTGCTCTACTAGGAAAAATAAAAGTGAGCAAAACTTCAAAGACTAACAATCTCATTAATGGAATATTATTTTAAAAATTGAATAATGTAGACAATTATTTAACACTTTGAGCTATGGGTCACCTGTACTGGAAACTTAATGTTCATGAACCAAACGATATCAAGCATGGACGCTTTCCCAGGACGGTGTTTTCGCGGTGATCGAAAGTTGTGTTACACATGACAACCGTTCGTGTTGGCTGCATCACTAATAGCACACAGAACATCAGATACAGAAAAGAAGAACATTTTTTAAAGTTTAATCCCCAGAAATGGCAAATAACCAAATTAGTCAAAAAAAAAAAGAAAAAGAAAAAACAAATATGTGCGAATTGAAATTTGTTACTGAGTGTCCCTACCCTGTTGCTGAAACTACCTACTTGTGATGCAATTTTGATAACCCTTCAATAGCTTCAATTTCAAATAAACAGAAGAAAACAAAACCTACTTCATATAATCACCTTCAATTTATTTTTGTTTTTTTTGCTTTTCAAGACAGGGTCTCCTCACGTAGTCCAGGCTGGCCTCAAACTCACTATGTAGCCCAGGCTGGCCTTGAACTTGTGGCAAACCTACCTCAGCCTCCCAAGTGCAGGCGTGCACTACCATACCCAACCTAATTATCTTCAATTTAAAAAGAAATCTATACCCAGTAGTTAGCAAGGCATCTCACCAATATCAGTGATGCCTAAAGAATATGCCCTGGGAAACTGCTAAAAAATAAATAAATAAAAGAATTTAACAAAAAGTTCTCTAGTCTCTGAAAATATCTTAAGATACTTTTAGAACCAATTTATGAATACTTATCTGAAGAGAAGTGGTTAATGTTTAATTGTCTTGTTTATAAACATTTTAACTGTCAAAAACAGTAACACTAAAAATAATCTTAGAAACTAAAAAAATGCCTACAACCTAAAAAAATGAGACAAGCACATAATTTCTCATGTTTAACTGCTGACCTTTGTCAATTCTGATAGACTGTAACTTTCAAATTTTTCCTTTACCAAAATAAAGTGTCTTGAAAAGCTGCAGGTATTAACTACTGATCTGCTAGCTGGCTATGCATTTCCATTACAAACCTGTCAAAAGTGTTTTAACACAGTGCACAAAATCACACTAAGCTGAAATATATGTATTAAATTTTCAAAAGCACCATGCCTGGTTTCAGTGGGTAAAAGTCCTACTTAAAACAATCAGATGTGCAGAGACAAACCTCTAAACAATATTATCTGAATATACCTCTAAACATGGATAAAATTTTAGAACGTGTCTTAAATGGTTATGTCTTATCAATAGAAATAGAATAAAAATTACATTAGTTTTAGCAAACGTCTATTTTTTAACTTTACAGCATCTAAACTATCATTTTAACTAATTTCAAAAACAGTTATTTCAATCTAAACTCTGGAGAACAGATTTCTTAACATGCACAAAAATGAACAAAAGGTAGGTTGACCTTAGTGAAGACACTGAGTAACAATAATCTATTATTTTATATGTATGTTACTAGTATTAACATGTATTTATATATAGTCAGATACATACATTATTTATATTGATATCACACTCATTTCATTTATTATAAACAGGTATTATTCTTTAAACAGATCTGTAGAACTTGAACACCCTTGATAAACGAACCAGGGATCTGAGGTAAAAATTACGCTTCAATACACTAATGTATATACCTAAATAAGCAAGAGTGGCTAATCTAATAGAAATGTGTCAAATTTAATATTACTTGCCAATTAATAAGCAAAATTATTCATAAACACAGTGTAGAGAGACTACACCAATGAAATGGGTTTTCAACATGGACTAAAGGTTGATTACTCAGCATTATGAGTCTTATTTCTGTGTCAAATATCAGTACATTGTGAGATTCTCACTCTTTTTTTTTTTCTTCCGGTACCAGCAATCGAACTCACAACCTTGTGCTTGCCAGGCAGCTCACTGTCTTTCATGATAGTAATAAACTACTATAAATTTGTTAACTGTCAATAACACTAATATTTTTGTCTTATTCTATTGAAGAAAATATTCTGTTGCTTAATTTTCAAAATAAAATTCTATTAAGTTTACCTTCTAAATACTATCAAAAGTATACAAGTATAAAAGAAATAATCATTTAGCATTTTTCCCAAGCTATGCTCCTCAAAAACAACTGAGAGGGAAAACATCTCTCACATTATTAAAGTATAACCTCTGAAGCTATTTATAAGCTAGTAATATCTAAAGAATTTTCAACTTAAAAAACTCAAACAGAAAAATATACATGCAGATAATAGTGTCTCAAATATCCATTCCCCACATAGGCAACGAAGTCTTAAAACAAGGAAATAAGTTGTATAATAACTACCATAAAAGTCAAAGATCCTCCAGACAGGTGAAAGAAATTCACTTATTTTCCTTGATGACTTTGTATGCCTAGAATTCTAGGGGGAAGAATAAAAATTAAACGCCATCAGTTGGTTTTTATGAGAGATGTAGACTTGAAAAAACAAAAAAAAACCTACAAAAATATTGCACTGAAACTGGAAAGTGTTTCTAATATTCCTGTGTTTTAATGTTTCAAGAACAAAATGTACCTGATCAATCTGTAAGTTCCCACTAAGACCCACTGAGCTTCAAAGTACCATATTCTTCTAACTTACTGCATGAAAATTTATCTTAAGGTTGAGCTCTGTTAATCATCTCCTGATATAATCTGCAACACATTATGAACCTTAATGGAATACCATTTACAAAGAACTGGAAAACCAGCTCACAAGTTAAAGTGAAAGAGATTTAACAAAACAAAAACAAAAACAAAAACAAAGGGACAAAATAAAAGAAAAAGAAATGAAAGCAAAGTAAAACAATAAAAAACAGAGACAGGGCGTCCATCTTCTGCGGTTCAGACTCCGATCTCATTTCCCCAATGAAGATTTCACTTGACGGCAGGTTTAGTGGCATGGCAAACAATGCCTAACTCAGGCAAGTGTAACAGGTCTGCCTTGGCCAGTCTAGTCATCTAATAATGCACAAATATCACATAGAGAAAACATACAAAACCAAATTAATAGTCAAAATCCATCTACCAGAAAATGTGGACATAAATTTATGACTGATGATTAGGCTGACACCTTTGTTATGTTTGACCTTATCTTTTCTAAGTGTTAACATTTATAAAAAGAAATCTGAAATGCACGCAACAACAAAAGAGGTCATATTTACACAAGTATAATGAAAGTATACTTTATTTTGAAATGGCATGTTTTATGAACAATAGTTAATGCTTAATATGTACGAACCTGTTACACATCAAACATTACTTATACAGCTTACGATCTCCTGTTACTGTCTGAACTAGAAAGAGCAAATTCAAAAAAACTGAAATGCTTTTCTGACCATTTTTTCCTATGGTCTTTCTCACTTATGTCATTATACTGCTTCTATGATATCAAGCAAAGAATGCAGTCTGTGAAGAGGACCATGAACTGCTCAAAACCCGACAGCACATCTCCTCTTACAGAATTCCTCCCTTGGAGCACTTTCCTTGGGTTTACTTCAAATTTGCTCTGCTACCTTTTTTAGTATAAGAATGCATTATTTCTTTGTTGGCACTGTATAATCTGACTTTCACTATGAAATTCTTCAATTTCTGCAAATTCATCACTACTATATTTAAATAACTTTTAAAAAGGATCTGAATTTTTTCTAGTACCAGAAATTTTCTAAGACCAGTTATTTCTAATGCTATTTATTAGTAATGTTAAGTTCTTCTAATGTCAGTATTGTGAAATACTTACTTCTAATAAACTACAATAAAAGCATGCTTAAGTTTTTGTGTTCAAAAATAAAACTTTGTATCAAAATAATATCAAAATTATTTAAAACTCTTAACTGTGCATTTACTCATCTCTATCAAGTAAACAGTAAAGGGAACCTCCACATGCCAATAACCTTGAACACTTATAACAAATAATCGGGCTTCTCTAATGTATGGAAGATTTTAGGGAATACAGGTTCCAAAAGAGTGACACTGACAAAAATTTTTCCCTTAAGATTCAGTAATGATCTAACATTAAGATCCTGCGCCACTGGTGGAATAATTTTCTGATGCAATATTCCAGTTTAATGTACCTTCTATCTGGTTTCTTTTTCCTGCATTTTTTATATGAAATTTTGGTACAAAGTATATAAAAAATTATTAACCAGCTCCTTTCCCAGCTCATTCTCAAATACTGGGCTCACTGTGCCCTCAACAGATTATGAGATAAAGATAAATACTTGTTACATATTAAAAATTAACTTAAACCCACTTTTATTTTCCCTACCCATTCTAACCCCAAAACATGGGAAAGACACCTTCAAATTTATCTGAAAAAAATCCAGAATGTCCTAGTCTTGTGACTCCCAGAAAAAGCATCCTGAAATAAGCATAAAACCCTGAAAGTGGGACAAGCTGCTTATTACACATTATTATTTTAACGTTATACTGGTGACTACAAAAAGGCTTAATTAAAAATTATATATAACAACCCAATAAATTATTTCTGGTGAACTTTTATGCTGTACAGTAACTATCACCATCCACAGAAAATATTTATCTGTAAGGACACTTCAATTTGCCATAACCCAATTCTAAAATCCATGTATACATGCCACAGACAGTGCTCCAAATGAAAGTTAATTACACTCTAGAACTGTCAAAATTATGTGAGTAGCTCTGTAAAAAGAAGTTACTAAAAAATAATTAGTAATAATTAGCTCTTAAAGCAGTTTAAAGCATAAAATTTAGCAAATAACTGTTAGGCTTCTGGCCCTGTTCCTATCTCCACCAACTATTTTTTTGATGAAAGATTTAAAAAATTGTTTTCCATTATTTTTTCTCAATTACTCTCTAACAGGCCAATGAAAAAAAAATTCCCGTTGCACTGCAAACAAGTACACTGAATACAAAAACATTGTCTCATGGTAACAAGGTAAATTACCTTAAAAAGGATACTTGAAGCATAAATTATGAATATTTTCCTTTTAAACATAATTGATCCAGAAATTCATCAAAACACATACATTGTCTTTATCTGTAATACTATTAATACTGTTAATAGGGCAAAAGTGTACTTATTTACATGTTTAAAATAATTACCCATACCAACTTAAAACTATTTTTGTAATTTCATGAAATTCTCCTCAGAATCTGAAAATTGACTATAGAAAGCCAAAAAACTTAGAGGAGCCAATTACTTTATGAATTTTTAAATGGTACGTTACAAAATCTCAAATGTACACAAGCAACAAATGAATCACTTTAATAAAACTTACTGTTAGGTAAAAATTCTTCCCCCAGTTCATTCTTGTGCATACGCTCTCACACACATACGCGCATGCACGCACGCACCGCAGAGTACTGCCTACTTCCTAATTTCTAGGTAAAAGGCTGCAGTAATAGACAGGACAGAGATCAAAACAATAGAAAACAATGAGATACCAACCTTCTGCACAGGGAACAACTATCAGAGCTCTGTCAATAAAAACCGTGTTAGTGAGATGCTGGGCCACACCAACACTTGACGGCTCACGGAACTTAACATAACACACTTTGGAGGAAAAAGCAAGAGGTGCATTGCTGTAAGAGAAAAAGAAAACTCAGTAAACATTTCCTTGGTCTTACCATTTTCATTTAAAATTTCTTTCTCACATCTTTACATAAACTTAACTAACCAGGACTTAGAAAATTTTGTTACTAGTGTTCATTAAAATGTAAAATGGCAAAACTCAAGTTATTCAGTGATGACTTATCTGACAGGAGGCAAGCCTATAGTTTTACATGTAAAATTTGAAACAAATTAGTCAATCTTTAATCTGAGTGAACTGTAAAAACACCTGGTATAACCCGCTGACATTGTCTATAAATCCCATAAATAGAAAAAATCCTGGTAGAAAAGCTTCAGCCTCCAAACTTCCAATTTTGTAACCATTACAATTCTTCCAAAATGTGATTTCCCAGCTTGTAAGTCTGACTGTAGATATATTTACTGTATGATAATACACGCAATGCTCTGACTTACATAACTAGACAAGAGAGTTTGGGTGGGTCTGGTATGAAATCTGAATTCAATGACCTGAGGCAGAGTAGATAAATTGACTTGATTAGCAAAGGAGTAGAAGGGCAGAGCAAGGATATAGCTCAGCAATGCATCACCTGGCTGGCAAGTGGCAAGGTCCTGAGTTTGATTCTCGGTAACAAAAAAAAAAGGCAAAGAGTAGAGTTGCTTTGTTTTTGCAACTTTAACTATCTTTACTAATTATGTGTGTATGTGTGTTGTGTGTGTACACATACATATGTTTCACATTTTAAACCCAAATACATTTCATTATAGTTTGGCCAACTGTATAAGTAATTCAAAATAGTTTTTCATATGCATGCTGAGGATTTGAACCCAGAGCCTTATGTGTGTGAGATATTCACTGTACTACTTAGCTATACCTCAAAACAGTTTTCTAAATTGCTGATCTTGTTTGTGTTAAGACAATGTCCTGCTGTATAGTTCAGTCTGGCTTTGAACTCACTATGTAGCTCTCTGACCAACCTCAAACTCTCAGTGATCCTAACCCAGCTTCTCAAGTGCTAGGATTACAGGCGTGCGCCACTACACCTAGCTAAATTTTTGATTACCTGAAAGATTAGGGCTGTATACTATTTACAATTGGATGATTGGACTTTATGGTGTTTTTGTTGTTTGTTTTTGAGACCAGGCTCCCTAAGTTGTCCAGGCTGGCCTCAAACTTTTGGCAATCCTCTTGCCTCAGCCTCCTGAATGCTGGGACTATAAGCATGTGCCATTGATGTTTTAAGTAACTGTACATTTATGTTACAGATTTGGTATGTTTGTAGGTCTTTTTTCTTGCTCTTTACCAAGAAAACTACAGACTTTAATAAAAAATAACTATAGATATGACGTCAAAATGATTACCCACAGAGGTAGTATGTTTTGGAATTTAACAAGACACATTATGAAAAAATTCCTTTCATTTGTTCTGCTCATTTTACTGTAGGTTTGCTATATTCAAATGAATCAAATGGACTAGAGTTTACATTAGCTTGCACAGTAAAGTATGTAAAATTTTTTGTCTGGAAAAAAAATCACGTAACTATCTATCTAACCTGAAAGTGTCCAGTATTTATTTACGAAGGACCTTCATTCAATTTAATTTCACATTTGAGAGTTTCTAAGACTACAGTGAAGACTGTGGTGTTTTTAGTTGCTGCTTTTAGTTGCTGGGAATGAATGCAGGGTTCCTAAGCATGCTATGTAAAGTGGCCTACCTGAGCTACAATCTCAACATTGTTTTTAGCAATTTAAGCCAGCACCTTTATATTACCAAATCTCTAATCAGGCCTCTCCTGAGCTCTAGATTTTGAGACCCAATGACCTGCTGAATATTAATATTACACTTTTTTGAGGGGGGATGGTCTTTTTGAGACAGAGTCCCACTAATGCAGTTCAGGCTGGCCTTGAGCTCATTTTGTAGCCCAGGCTCAAACTCGCAATGATCCTCTTGCCTCAGCCTCCCGAGTGCTGGGATTACAGGCGTGCGCCAGCATACCCAGCTAATATTACACTTTCATCTACCCCCAATTCGTTAATTCCAAAATGCATTGAACACCCTCCTTTGCTACCAACACTGCCCTTTGTACTTTACATCTCAGTTAAACATACCATCACATTTCCCAAGTCTGAAATTTAAGTCACCTGTGAGATAGTTATCAGTGCTATTAACCAAATATTTTCAAAGCTTCTTCTGGACACATGGTAAAAATCCCACTTTTCTGTTCCTTCAATTTAGGTGTGGCCACCAATTTGCTTTACTCAATTAAATGTGAGCTAAACTAAAAACTACCTATTCTGTACAAGTTTCAAGAGCCACAGCTTGGCTCTTTTCCTCTGCCACAGCAACAACTTGTCACCTTCATCCCAGACTGCCCCAATGAATAGAGGACCCAACCATACCATCCTACCGTAAGAAATGCTCTGCTAAAGTGGAATATGGGGTGTCTTTTCAACGCTGCCTGTCCTGACACCATCCTTGACATACTCATCCAACTGGTCAACAAGCCCTACTGTGGCAACTGCCAAATATTTTGTCACATTAATCTTTTCTTCATTCTCATTATCAATGCCTTAATTCAGTCCCTCAGCACTTTTCTTCTAGACTACTACCAAGTAATAATCTTGTACAAAGCTGCCACAGTGATCCTTCTAAACCCTGAATGGCATTTCATTTCAGATTAACTTTCCTCAAAATCCGCTTCTGTTCCTGCTTCATCATCTAAGCCACCCAATCCAAAACTCCAGGCATACAAATACTTGTGATCAGCCAGGCACAACCTGTAATCCCAGTACTCAGGAGGCTGAGGCAGGAAAATCATTACAAGTTCGAGACCAATCTGGGCTACAAAGTGAGCTCAAGGCCAGCCTGAACTGTATAGTGAAACCCTGTCTCAAAGAGTCAAAAAAACCCAAAAGACTTGTAACTACAAAAACACATCCTGAATATACATCCCACATCCATGTGGATCTTTGTATGTGTTATTCCATCTGGGTATGATGTACTCTATACCCCTCCCTTTTGAATAACTCCACTTCAAGTCTTCTGATAAACCATCCTAAGATATCACAGTGATATCTAATGCTACTACAGCTTCAACAGACGTGTTACCTTAATTCCTTACATGAAACCCACTATGGAGCCTATGACCTTCCCCAGCAAAAGCTGATGAACCACCTGTCCCAAGGGTCCATTTTGCTGGTTGTACAGCAACCTGTAATTTGGGTAGTCAGATTTGACCAAAGGCGGTCAAACGATCAGATTCTTTCTGCTAGGCCCAAATGATGAGGAAGTATAGAATAGTTCTGCAAAGAAACAGAGCAGACACACAGAAGCAATTAGCTGACAATACAACTTCCTGAGAATCACCTTGACTGCTGATACCTTTCTGGTTTCTCAGTTCGCATATAATGCCTGGCTATTCTATAGTCATTAACAGTCTTTATTCTTCAATACACCCTTTCTTTTTAAAAACAAGGAAGGACTCTTCTTAAGCTAGACTGGGTAACACTGTTTCTGTCTTCTGCAACCAAAAGAAGTTTATGATTACTGTGACCTACTAAAACCCTAACAACTGCCACAGCAACGCTCTTCTAGCCCTGAAATCGTTAAGAGCCTAACAAGCCACCACTAAAGCTACATTTCCTGAACTGACAGATCCTTTTGTAATCACTACTAAAATAATCACTACTGAAAATTAAAAGCATAGTCCCAAACATCGCTCGTTGAAATCCGATAGGAAATGTGAGACTCATTTGGAAAGAAAATGCATATGAAGACAGGCCACCAAGATCTGAGATGCTCAGGAGCTGGTTGAAAATGGCAGTTTATTCTGAATCACTTTATTATGAAACATGAATATGAAGTCTAGCTACCTCACAGCTTTAATCCCATGTCCTTTTCTTAACCCTGTGTCCTTAATCCTTTTCTTAATCCTATGTCCAATTATCTTTCTTGAAATAATAAAACTAAGTTTCTTTTTCTTTTTTTTGAAGACAGGGTCTCGCTATGTGGCCAAGGCTGGCATTGAACTTATGACAATCCTCCTGCCTCGGCTCTGCTTAATTTTATAAAACTGTAAATGTTTGAACTTTCAGGAAAGGTGGTATAATTTTATGTTGAACACTGATGACTAAACTATGATAGAGTCTTCAACAGATGTATCTCAGGAAACAAACCTGTATTTATGAATCAGCATATTTCCAAATCTTGTACTTCACTTTCTCTCTAACAAACATAAACTATCAAATAAATTTGTTTTCCTACTTTTATTATTTATTTATTTACTGAAGTGCTGGTTATCAAACCAAGGCCTTTGCACCACTTGTAGCTACTAGATTTAAACAGCATTCTCATGTTAAAATGTAATTTTAACTTATAGTTTTAGTTTTTAAAAGTAGTATGTGTATATTTTACTTCATCTAAATGTAAGCCTCTATAGAAAGTAGCAGTACCCAAATCTAGATTTTCAATTTGATCTCATTTGTTTACTCTCAACTTTTATTTTTTAAAACACAAAACACTGTTGTTTTTTCAAAAAAAGTCACGACTTCTGAGTATTAAATCGAGACAACGAGCTGGGGATTTAGCTCAGCGGCACAGCGCCTGCCTGGCAAGCGCAAGGTTGTGAGTTCGATTCCCGGTACCAGAGAAAAACAAAACAAAAGAACAATTTTAAGGGGCTGGGAATTTAGCTCAGCGGCAAAAGCGCCTGCCTGGCAAGCGCAAGGTCGTGAGTTCGGTTCCCGGTACCGGAGAAAAACCAAAAAATAAAAATTAAAAAAAAAAAAAAATTTTTAAAAAAAAATAAATAAATAAATCGAGACAACGAAGAATCAACTCTGTACATCCATTAAAGTTTCTGGGCACTAAGTGATAATTTTGTTTTTCATGTAACATGGTGATGACACTCTACAATCTTTTCAAAAGCCAATGCGGTGCCATGCATGGTGATGCATGCCTGTAATCCCAG